TCATTGAAATATGATGATTACTACTTGAAATATCAAAAGCTGAAAATTAATTAATTATGCAAATTAGGTAATTAATATATACTGATATTACCCTTAAACCTATCAGGTCCGTGCAGTGTCCTATGACATCTATGTACCAAATTGCATTGAAATGTGATGATTACTACTTGAAATATCAAAAGCTGAAAATTAATTAATTATGCAAATTAGGTAATTAATATGTACTCATATTACCCTAAAAACTATTAGGTCTGTGCAGTGTCCTATGACATATATGTACCAAGTTTCATTGAAATGTTACAATTACTACTTGAAATATCAAAAGCTGAAAATTAAATAATTATGCAAATTAGGTAATTAATATGTACTGATATTACCCTAAAACCTATCAGGTCCGTGCAGTGTCCTATGACATCTATGTACCAAATTGCATTGAAATGTGATGATTACTACTTGAAATATCAAAAGCTGAAAATTAATTAATTATGCAAATTAGGTAATTAATATATACTGATATTACCCTAAAACCTATCAGGTCCGTGCAGTGTCCTATGACATCTATGTACCAAATTGCATTGAAATGTGATGATTACTACTTGAAATATCAAAAGCTGAAAATTAATTAATTATGCAAATTAGGTAATTAATATGTACTCATATTACCCTAAAAACTATCAGGTCTGTGCAGTGTCCTATGATATCTATGTACCAAGTTTTATTGAAATGTGATGATTACTACTTGAAATATCAAAAGCTGAAAATGAATTAATTATGCAAATTAGGTAATTAATATGTACTGACATTACCCTAAAAACTATATCAGGTTTGTGCAGTGTCCTATGACATCTATGTACCAAGTTTTATTGAAATGTGATGATTAGTACTTGAGACATCAGTGGAAAAGCCGAAAATTTATTAATCATTATGCAAATTAGGTAATTAATATTGCACAGATTTTTACCCAAACTCCCGCCAGATCCTGACTTACCCAAGTGCATCAAGAATCGGATCAACTTCATCTGAGAATTCCTGAATTGATGGATAGCGAAAACTGCAAAAACAATAGAATATGATGTTATAACCTCAAAGTATGCACAGAGACAGTTCAGCGGGAGTATCGATTGACACGCAGCGGCGGCGTACTGTCTTTCCATGATCCAACATAAGAGAACAGCAACATGAAGCAGTAAAGTACAATAAAATATTCAGCGATGACTATATTACTTACTCATCTGGTAGATTGCCAGCATCTGGCTCTTGTCCAGGTGCATTGATATGGACAAAGCACATTTTATGAGCAACATTCAGCATATCAGGATGTTGGGTAAACTTGTGAAACGACAAATCTGTTGGTAAATGAAAGTATATGATGCTTTTATAGTAAATGCATATCATGTATACATACATCATTAATTAATTGATAATTAATGTACAAATATTGATGTCTCATCTCATTCAGGGCAGGAACTCCAGTTTTTTCAGGGCAACCTAATTTTAAGGTCAAAAACTGCCAGAATTGCCTTGGACTGATTGCAATTGTGAAAGATTTTGACAATTTTGAAAGCATTCATGTGGGGCAATTGACAATAACCTCCATGAATGAATGATTTAGTTTCGCTGGTAAGTGATTTTTTGAAAGTATAATCATACTTAATCTGCATACTGAGGATTTATTTATTTTAGCTAGAATGAATTTTTGCTGAAAAGACTTTGGGTGTTTTATATGGAGTTTTTTTTTTCACTAATTTTTGTTGAATATAAAATACAGAAAAACAAACGTAAATTCATTGGTCTTTATTTTCACTGAATCACTCATTCACCAAAAATGTATTCCAAGCGAAAATAAAAAAAATTTACCACAAGTTAATTAGCTAATTTGCATACTAATTAACAACTTTTAACATGTTTGAATTCAAAACCTAGTGAATATGATCAAAATAGGAAAATTAAATACCAGCGAAAATTAACGATTTCACTGTACTACAAACAATCAAACAATAATGAATGATTGCTTTTTAACAAAGCTGACAAGGGTGACCATCAACTTTCACACAGTCAGCAAAGAAATCAATGTTGACTGGTGACAGGAACTAGGTTATCATTCTTCCATTCATTAATTACACGTATATTACAGCTATATTCTATATTTAGATACATGTACAATCATTAGTCACACCGATAGAGTGACAAGTTTTATCTATCACTGCGAATTGTTAACAAGTAGTCTCTCAGATCCTCTATAGATCCACTGTTTGTTTTGCATAATGAGAAAGGAATCAATCAGTCTAGCTATAAGATAAAAAGAATTTTCACTAAAATGAGAAAATTAAATTATTGACACTAAATGTATTAATCTGATAGGGGAATGAACCAAATCAATTTTACAGTCCCTCCAAGGTATCAAATTTGATAAGAAGTCAGGCCAAGGTACGGATAAATATCAAAGCAATGTGTTTGTCGTTTTTAACAAAAGAGCTAAAATAGCCTGTTTTATCAAAAATTACAGAAATATTCACTAAAATTAGAGTTATCATCGAAAAATCAACAAATCTGCTGGAGATCCAATCATATACAATATCAAAGCAATCTAGCTAGCCTGTTTTTTGTGTTATATTTTTTATAAACTAACCTCAAAGTACATCCAAGGGTAATCTGACACGTTGTATTACTCTCATCACCATCTAGCTACTGATTGCTTCGCTATGTATGCCTTGAGATCGATACGTGGTTAGGTAAAATTAATAAATATCCTAAACCAAATAAAGCTTGTACTGAAGCCAAGGCAGACTGATTTTTACTTTGAGAATTGACCCAGAACCCACTAGATGCAAGATGAACATGCTAACCTGTGTACCATCACAGAGGTGGTAAAACCATTTTCACGTGGGTATGGCGCTCCACAAAATGCATGCATTTACAGGAGGTTATGCCGCACACTAGACAAACCAGAGATTGTGTCCTGACACTCCCAACTGCGTCCATACATACATTTTTGTTTGGAAAAATTTGCCATTTATTATACGGCAATTTATACAATTGGATGAAATGAAATGAAAAGTGAGCTTAAACATAGTCCATCATTATTAGTTTCCAAGCTATTGTGCTTGGTTTGACCTAAGTTGTTCCAATCATGTAATGAGTAATAACAAGCATAGCAAACCAGTCAACAACTTAGTTAACAATGTTGTATTGTTTTGGAACAATATGACGGTGACTGTAAACAGTTTACATATACACAATTATAAGAGATTGGTGCTATCTGGTTGCTAAGCTACCAGTGCCAAACTTTAGTTATCATATGCCACTATATATATATATATGTTGATTTTTCAAAAGTTTACGAAATGTAGGTAAAATTTGGAAAACATGTTTTCTATCCCAACATACTTTTGTACGACAACATATAAATATATATATTCAAAAACTGGAAAACTGGAGCAAGTGATTAGTTATAAAATCAGTAACTAAGCAAGCAGGAAACTCAAAACTTGTCCATTATTTAATGGATATTGTTTTAATAGTGAACTTACAGTTAAGACCAATGTCATGCCATGTTACACACAACTGTTTGGCACTTCTATCACCCTGCAAGACATAATGTGAGATAATACATTAATTTCTGTACAAGTAATTTTGTGATTTCTATATTAATCACATGCATGATGAACTGCAAAACAGATAAGAAATGCATATCACATAGTGCCAAATTTTATTTTTATCATACAAACTACCAGGAGGTTTTTCAGGCCTTCCAAGCTTGTATACAGTCCAATAACCACAGTACATAGTACAATTGATTCATGTTGGCAAGCTTGTGCCTTTATTTTAAGAATTATTATTCAAAACAAAAAGCTTACAATTAAAAAACCAAACGATATTAAAAGGCTTTTGTGTAAAACAGAACAATATTGCATCAACAAAATTAGCACACTAGAGGCTCGTAGTGATATATTCATATCCTGTGAAATATTCCCATTCACAACACTCTGCCATTTCACTTTTTCAGACTGTGGAAATATATACTCATGATACTTTCTTTTCGCTAGACATAAAGCAGACACTCTGGATTGTCACCAGAGTAGCATCAATCCTTCCTTATAGCTCACAGTCACACTGATCAAAAGAGAACATATCGTGGGATTATATATAATAATCTATGTGGCATCTTCAGTGAACATGGATAGAATGATCATTTCTGCTGGTAGGCATTTAGTCATTATTACTGGTTAGGATCAGACATGGGTTGTGCAAATGGAATGACAACTGCCGTTCTTGTTTTGCTACAAAATTGTTCATAAAAATAATTTCAAATCAGCTTGTGTATTCACCCAAATATTCGTTTACTTAAATTCATACATCGTACTCATCCGGAATTACCGGTATTACCGGTATTGGGAAAAGTCTAGCAATGCTCAAAGACCCAATTTATAGCATTTTGGAAGGGAAGCTTAGCTGAACGTGAACCGAAAATAGAAATGCCTCAAACGTTGCAGGTGGATGCTTAGTCAACATGGGTGCCGAGTTGGACAAGTATGTTATAGTTGAAAAGTAATTCACTGCAAAAATATACATTGGTTCACTATAATACATAAAAAAATTGAATCACCATAATAATACATAGTGAAACATTATACATTAATTCCCTGTTATTCATGTAGTGAAACAGTAGATCATTGATTCACTGAAATTCAAATAGTGAAACATTAGTAAACCATTGATTCACTGAAATTCAAATAGTGAAACATTAGTTGACCATTGATTCACTGAAATTCAAATAGTGAAACTTTAGTAGACCATTGATACACTGAAATGCAAATAGTGAAACATTAGTAGACCACTGATTCACTGAAATTCAAATAGTGAAACATTAGTAGACCATTGATTCACTGAAATTCAAATAGTGAAACATTAGTAAACCATTGATTCACTGAAATTCAAATAGTGAAATATTAGTAGACCATTGATTCACTGAAATTCAAATAGTGAAACATTATACACCAATAAAGTGAAACACTATACATTAATTAACTATAATTGATATAGTGACCTCTAAAGGTCACATATCCTGGTACTTTGTTGGTATGACAGTACCACAAACATACACAATTGGCCATTTTAAAGACAATTTTTTGTTCCCAACAGATATATTTTACTCAAGCAGCTGAAACAAATAGTCAAGAAAATTGTGCTGTAATATCAATACCAACGAAAAGTAGATGGAAGTCAGCTATTATCCCAGAATTCATTAGCTTTGTCATTGTCATTTGTAATTTTTCTGTACTTTTTTCTCATATACTCTTTAATATTTCTAGAAATTAACCCTAATTTTGGTGCTAAGAGATAAAATTTGGGTCATTTTTCAATTTTTAATAAATAAAAATAATGCATATGTTTGTCCCAATCTTCTGAAGAAAAGTAGGGACTATAATAGGGACTATTTTGTTAATTTTCATGAAAAGCGAGAACTGGTGGTGAAAAGGTTAATAATAAATCACAACTCAATCGCTAAAGGACGTTCACAGTTTCATCAATAATTCCACTTGTTACCACT